AATCTAATACTTACTATAGTTATTATAGTTACAGCAGAACTAATATGTTAATTAAAAGAAATATATTTTATTAAAATTCATGATGAAATTGAATAATAATAAAACTTATTAAATATATAATTTATAAAAAATAACTTATAAAAGATTTTACCAGTCAAATTAAAAAGCATTTTAAAACACAGCATAAATAATATGCTTTGTTCAAAAAATTATTCTCCTTTATTCTAATGTATTTTATTTTTTCCCTCAGGCGTTCACTGCTTGTGTCAGTTTAAACCACTACTTAATTTAAATTACAATACAAAAATTGTATACAAAAGGAATTAATAGGCGTAAGTCTACTGGAAGGTGAATCTTTGGCTTTATTTGATAATGAGATTAAAACTATATCTTGAAGCAAATACTAAAGTTTTTGAGATTATCAAATACTGAAATTGTTTTCGTTAGCATATGTTATTGATAAAGCTTCTTTGACAGCAGAAACAAACAGCACCAAATCAAATGATAACTTGAAGAAAGATCATGATCTAGACATTTTTAATGTATGAAATCTATTGCTATAAAATAGAAATGTTAATACTTGTACTAGAATTACGGACATGTAGAAAGATACCAAATTACTTTAAATTTCCTAAGTTTCTTGTTCAAACTTCAAGACATGTTAAAAATGAACAATAGATTCTATCAATGCTAGGATAAACAAAAAGGACAATTTCACCAGAAACAGTCAAACTATTGCTTAACTTTAAAAATCAGTTTTCAAGAATGATGAATAAAATATTTTGACTATAAAACAAGCATAAGATAAGTTCTTATTATCTATTTATCTTTTAATGTGAAGATAATGTCCTCATTAACTATTTATCTCCTATCGTGAATATAATGTCCTTATTAACTATTTATCTCCTACCATGAAGATAATGTCCTCATTAGCTGTACAAGTAGAAGATAATATCCTCATTAACTATTTATCTCTCACCGTGTTTGACTATATTGCTGACATTGAATCATTTAATGGCGCTATAGAATTTCTGGAAAACATATTTGTAAAACCTAAAAATAAATTATTTTCGAGACATCAGTTAGCTTTACATAAACAATCACCCGAAGAATCTATTGATGAGTTTTTGCAGGCTTTATGTACACTCAGTAAAGATTGAAACTTTAAACAGGTTAGTTTTAGTATACACATAATTAAACTCAACAAAGATAATAATAATTATAAGATCCAGCACATTCTCCCATACTAGATAAACAAAATAAGCAAATAACAGGTTTCTGCTTCAGAACATTGTGAATAATACATTCGTGATTCATTTATAAGTGGTCTAAGCTCTCATCATATTCGCCAACGACTACTAGAAAATTCTACTCTTAAACTTACTGAGGCCTATAATCAGGCTTGTTCATTGGAAAACGCTCATAGAAATAATGAAATGTTTTCACATACGGAGTATAGTAATGTTGCTACAATTAATAAACATTCTGAATGTATTACTGAGCTCGCTTCAGTTTCTACTAAGCCTAGTGGACTTTGTTATTTCTGTTGAAGTAAACGTCACCCTCGACAATCATATCCTGCCAGAGATGCAGAATGTAACAATTGTGGTATGAAAGGACATTTCAAGAAAGTATGCAAATCATCAAAGAATCTTGTCATGTCTGCTGTTAACTTTCATGCACCAAGTTTAGCCTCGATTACTTGCTCTTCTATCAACTCACTCAACTCTATTGTTTATATCTTTATTTGTAGGGCCAAGGTAAGAGCTCTTCTTTATACCGGAAGCTCTGACACATTTATAAGCAAATCATTTTGTGACTCTTTAAAACTTAATATAATCCCATCTAACAAATAAGCCTCTATAGCTCATCCTTCCTTATCTTGTCAAGTTATAGGTAAAGTTTCAACTAATTTCACTTTATTTGGTATGAAGTACTCTAATATTAACTTTTCAGTTATACCCAACTCTTGCAAACAAATCATACTTGGTAGAGATTTCTTAAAGTTGCACAAAGGTTTTATATCAATTATGGTGGTAAAAAAAAATTCTTTAAAAATCTGTTCTCTAAATAGTATTATAATGAAAGCTAGCACTATATTATTAGAATTCTTTTTGGCGTAGTTGCTGTTGCACAATTTCAAAGAATCATGGATAAGTTTATTCAATAAAAAAAAAGACACCTTTGTATATCTAGACAACTTGCATGTATGTGGTACATCTAAAAATAAACATGATTTCAATTTAGAGAAATTTCTTGAAGCTTCTAAGAAAGCAATTTTATGTTCAATGAAGAAAAGTCTCTATTGTCTACTTCATGTAGACAATAGAGACTTTTTTGCCTACTGAAAAAAAAATTTACTGTTGAGAAGGAGGCTTATGCTTTTGTTGAATCACTTAAAAAATGGAAACACTACCTTGTTGGTTGGCATTTTACTCTAGAGTGGAAAAATTAAGAATGACAAAATTCTGTGATGGAGGATAGAACTTTCTTTGTACAGCTACGATATAGTTTATCTCCCTGGACGTAACAATTTTGTTGCTGATGCCCTCTCTAGATCTTGTTGCTCTATAACTATAAACGGACCCTCTCTTAAGGAACTACATGAATCTCTTTGCCACCCTGGAATCACCAGAATGTATCATTTTATAAAATCAAAAAATTTGCCTTTTTTAATTGATGATGTAAAAAAACCATTTCTTTGTGTCAAATTTGTGCTAAATTAAAACCTAAATACTATGTAAACAATTTTAACCACACCTTAATAAAATCTACTCAACCTTTTGAATGACTAAGCATTTTATTTACTAAGGATTTTAAAGGACCTATTTTGTCTTCAGCTACCAACAAATAGTTTTTAACAGTTGTTGATGAGTTTTCAAGATTTCCTGTTGTATTTCTTTGGCATAATTTGGAAAGGAATTTTGCTTGCTCTCAAATCAAAGAAGTTACCTACCATGAACTGGGAAAATGTTTTACCAGATGTCCTTCATTTAATGCGTTCCTTACTTTGCGTTTCTACTAATGCTACACCTCATGATTATTCAGATTCAGTCAACGTTCTTCTAATGGACATTCTGTTTCTATGTTTGACACAGCAAATATGAACCTCTGGTTGAAGAGATTGAGCTTTTAGAAGTTAATAGTAAATATTCTCATGAAAGAATGCCTGATGGACGTGAGACCACTGTTGCTTCAAGACATCTCGCACCAATGACTGATACAATCAGTGATAATGACGGAAATAATAACTGCAAAGAATCTGAAACAATCCCTTCACTTTAGCCTCTCCATCCGAAAAGATCTCAAAACTTTTCTACTCTCTATTCAAAAAATCCTAATGGAATTTCTGTTGAAGAATCAGTCCCTAGTTGTTCAGGAAGATCCTGGAATCCTTCTAAATATTTAAATGACTATACTTGAATAATTTGAACTTATTTACTTTTTTTATTTTATTTAGTATGGTAGAATGTGCTGATTCTTATAATTATTATTATCCTTGTTGAGTTTAATTATGTGTATACTAAAACTAACCTGTTTGTATATTTTACTTTACATATTATTGTACGAAGAATAAAGCCTGTTAAGTAAGTTGGCTTTTTAATTGTATGAAGAATAAAGCCTGTTAAGTGAGTTGGCTTAGAATTAATTATAGACTATTAAATTTACTACTCTACAGTTAGTATTATGAAAAATCAACGCATTCAAAGGTTATTATTACTCAATTTTAATGAATTACATGTTGCATTTAAAAATGACAATGCTAATGTCAAGGTCAGTTTTTCAAGATTTTGTGCTCTAAAACCTAAGTGGTGCATTACAACTAATGCATTTGGTACTCATAATGTATGTGCAATTGTGCATCACAAAAATAAAAATGGGGTCATGTACAAGTATGTATGCACATTGGGGGAGGGGAGAGGTCTTCAAATAAATTTCATTCTGAACAAATAATCTACCAAAACTAAATGTTATGTTTAAATGTTGTTTCTATGTTCAATAGACGTTCATATGTTTATTGAAATAAATTTGTTAAATCTTAGCAATCTAATCTTAAATGTTAATTTCAGTTAAATAATTATTTTATTTATATTTAACTAGGAAAATGAAAATGTATCTGGACAGAAAAAATGTTAAATTTTTTTTAAGTTTTAAAAAGGGTAAATAAAAATTGAAATATTTTAGAACAAAAAAAGGTTGTTTTGATTAAATGTTAACAATGCCAAAGTTGTCAATAAAGCATGCGGTTAAACAAGGAAGAACTTTGCTAATCAGTTTGCAATTTAAAAATCAAGAGTTGCAGATATAAATAAAAGATATTAAGAAAGAAATGACAATCGAATGTCTTCAAATCATGTAGGCTATAAATTTCATTTATCAGATAAAATTTTAATTTCTGCCTTAAAAAATGATCCATGTAAAAATGCTTTCTTCTTAATTCTAGAAAAGATTTCTTTGAAATATAGTGTTTACCAACCAAGTGCTGTTTAAGGTCTGCAAATCTATTTTGAAGAGGTCTGGTAAAGAAACCTTTTATATCTATAAAGATTAGAAAATCGTGAAGTTTGCTAATGAACATTAGGACAAGAGAACAATTAAACCTTGAAATAATGAAGTTTATGTTATTTGATTCTGAAAGTATTAGGTATGTTCGTCATCCAAAAAGCCATAGAAATGAACCTAAATACCAGATTCCAAATATTGTCTAATTATTGAATATTTAAGTAGGACAATGACCCAAAGTACACTTCAATCATCATAAAAGATTTTTCCATGCAAGAAAATATTAATTGAATTGTAACAAAAGCTTCAGTCTGCTCTCACAGTTTAAACGCAGTTGTGTAAAAAATCAACCCCAATTTTTTTAGTTATATATATACAACTTAAAAATGTATTTTTTAGTTTTATATTATTTATAATAATAATAGTATTAATAAATTTGTTGATCAGTTTTTTATTTTTTTATTTTGAAAAACATTTATATATTTTCTTTTTTTAAGATTGTTTATAATGAACATTAAAGAGTACTTTGCTTTCCCAATTTCCATTGGATGTAATCCTATGGTGAAAAATTACGAAGGTGTCAAATATATGTTGTTAAACATATTTTCTGATAATAAAAATCTTAAAGCTGATTGGAGAGGATTGAAGTTAGGTAGTCTTCATGAAGATTGGTTAAGAAATCTAACAAGCTTTAAAGATATTGTTCTTTCTTATAATGAAATTAAAACTATACCATCAACTGATATTTTGAATTACTTTGGAGCAGTAGAAAAGTTAAATCTTAGTTCAAATAAATTACAAGAGGTTCCCGAAGAATTGTTTAGGCTTCCAAAACTTTGTAGTATAGATCTTTCACAAAATAAATTAAGACATCTCCCTAATGTTAAAGAATGGTCTCCATCTCTTACAACAATAACTCTTAAGAGTAATTTATTAGAAAGTTTTCCATCCAATGTTGAAGGACTCTTAGTAAAATATTTATATTTAGCATATAACAGATTGGATTGTGTTCCTGAAAGTATATGTAACCTGAAATGTTTAGAAACTCTTGATATTAGTCAAAATGTTGACATTCATTCATTACCAGTAAGCATGGGAAAGTTATCAAAACTTACTCAACTAGATTTGGATGGCTTAACGGTAAATTTTAAAATAAAATGTTTCTGCTTTTTATATTTGATATTTTATATCAAGTTATGCATTTATATATATATATATATATATATATATATATATATATATATATATATATATATATATATATATATATATATATATATATATATATATATATATATATATATACTTGTGTGTGTTTGTGTATAAATTATAAATTTTGTTTTATTTGGACCATTATATGTAGATTTATATTATTATTATGTAGTATTATATACAGTGATGTTAAGACCTATTTTTGGTTGGTTGTCAGGGCAACTGAAAGCAGCTATTTAGCTATTGTTAATTTCCTGCTAAAACCTTTTGATCTTCTTCATTTTTTAATGGTCTTATTTCATATATTTTTAAAAAACTTCTATAAAAGTAGTTTTGGTATATATTAATAGCAATTTTTAGTGTGCTTCATGTATGTATATTAAAAAAAGTTAGTTGTGCATTTAAAAATTATACTATTAAATTTTTTTTTAATTTTATTTTGATTTGGTATTACTTATAAATATTATATTTTAAATTAAATTATCAAAATATGAATATCCTTTATGTGACCTAAGGTGCAATGGACATTAGGGTGGGTTGTACATTTAAAGTTTTGGATATGAGGGCGCGTGCAATATTTTTTTTATGTATTAGGATATTAGAAGAGACATAAATAATTTTTTTTTTCTTTAAAAGTTCATCTAATGTGGGCACAGGGCGTTTAAAAAATATCAGGTTTATGAATAACTCATCATATTGACATTTTTCGGCCTTTTTTATATTAGCCAAAGGTAAGGCAATTATCAATATACAATCCGACATAATATAGACATAAAAATAAAACATAAAATTAAGTGCTACTTTTCTTAATGCTATACAAACATGGTCAACGTAAGAAAAGTTGTCTGCCATTATGGATTTTACAAAAAAATATCTATATATAAATGTTAGAAATAGGACTGCGCGCAATATTTTTTTATGTATTAGGATATTAGAAAAAACATAAATAATTTTTTTTCTTTAAAAGTTTATCTATTGTGGGCGCAGGCCGTTTAAAAAATTTCAGGTTTACAAAAAACTCTTAAAAAAAAAATTAGTGTAGCAAACTTATTATTGTTATTTCCAATGTGCATAATGCTACTAGTATAAGATAAGGTGAATCATAAAACATAGTCATCAAAGTTTGTGGGCTTGGGCTTATGTCCCCCTTGGGGCTTATATCCCCCTTTCCATTATTATTCAAAACCATAAAAATTGATCAATAACATGAAAATAGTGTATGATTTTTTATTTGTTATAAAGTTCTAATAGCTTCTTTGTAGGATAATTACTAAGATAATAGTTTCCTGATGATTTGCGTTTTAAACGTGTTCTATTTATTTATGATCACCTTGGCATAGTAAATATTGTAATAAAAATGATGTAATTAACAAACTTATAATATATATATATAAAGGAAGTCTTTTTACCTACTACAAAAAGCTACCAATGTTTCTAAACAAACATAACATCAATTTCATTGCATCAAATGGCTAAATCTACTCAAGCTCAAACAATATTAAAATGCCCTAAATTGCACGAGCTATTGGGTAGTGGATTCGAACTTTGTTTATCAGAGCTGCCTACGCTGAGAAATTGTTTACAAATGGGATTTTGTTGCGTGATAGGTCAGTTACACATTTGGATACAAGATGTATGTTTATACAAATATTTATTAAAATAAAAAGTATTTGAATGTCAGCAAATTCTATAATCCCGCTGGTCTCAGAAAAATATGCAGTCGATATTTCGACTGCATATTTTTCTGAGACCAGCGGAATTATAGAATTTGACGAATGGAACATTTCAAAAGACATTGGAAAATTGAGAATTACAAAAAAAGAAATATGTATACGGACAAACATGATAAGTTATTTGACTTGACAAAATGTAAGTGCGAAATCTTATGCTGTAATGAAAATGGATGCAATGATTGTCTTTTTAAAGCTCATGTAATTTGCATATGTCTAAAAGTAGCAAAGATACTTTTGCAAAAACTATTTTTCCTACAAGCTCAAAGAAATAAAATTGGTAACAAAAGTTCTTTATAAATAAGATTAGTTGATATATCAGAGACACATCGGTTAACAAGATATTTGGGTAGAAAAGAATCAGACTCTAAAATACCTGGAGAAGAAGATGGAAAATTACATTCATCGGAAAAAAAAAGAAGAACATTATTTAGTTTGTTCTGAACCTGGAGGAAAATACAAATTTCATTTCACTAACAATTCTGAAGAAAGATTAGAGACTGCAGCTGAGCAAATAGCTGATAATCTTTACTTAAATTATTTTTTTTTTTAATTAAAATTAAAATTTTTAAAAATAGGGATAACAGATGTTGCTTTCCAGCAGGCTGGAAAACAAATTTCTGACTTGTTAAAAAATATAGACGACAGCTCCGGTGAACACTTCTGCAAGACTATAACAGGTATATTGTTTGGACCACAAGTTGTAGAAGAGTCTAAGCAGGAAGTCACTTTAGATACAAAAGCTGAAGTGATTCGAATTTCAAGCAATGGATCAATCTGTTTGACGACTATATCAGGTAGAACGCAACTGGTGGAATCAAGAGGTGTTATTGATGAAAAGTTCTACGCAAACAGTTTGACCTTGTCTTTAGGTGAGGTGACAAAATCTAAACCATACAAAAGAGGTGAAATAATAGATTTGCCCTTATTATTGATACTGTTAAAGATTCTGCAGTAGTCTCAAGAGCCTAATTTTTGTGATGAAATACAAGATTTCATGACCTGAGAGTAGCTATTATGGTTTTTAGCTTTAGTAAACAGATGACTGTTTTCTGAAGAATTGTTTTGCTGATAGATATAGAAGTAACAGTTTCGATTGGAAATTTTAGCAGCACAATGTGAGGAAAACCATAAAGAAAAGTGAATCTTGGCCTGGAACCATTGAGAGAGAATAAAAAATTCCATGCCAATCTGAATCTACAAAGTTATGTAAGAAGTACATTTGTCAGCAGGGAGATAAAAGATTTCTATCCGAAGGGCCATCACAAAGAAAATCATGGAAAGAGTCCCAGTCATTTTTAAGGTAATTGTAAGAAGTACAATAATATGGAGATTATGATGAAGAATGAGGTAATAGTTTTAGAGAGATCAATCTGTGATCAGGAGAAACTGAGCACTGACTTGGATCAGAAACAAGACATAAGTCGAGTAGAGAAGGTAAATGATTGGGGTTGTTTGGAAAGCGATTTGGAAAGTTGACTATTTGAGTTAGAGATTGGGAAAGGCAAAATTTGTTGGCCTTAATGCCTGCAAAATCAGGGTTTTAAGCAAAACAGTAGCATGATAAACAATATTATTTACCAAACATTGATTGTTTAATGGACCAGAACGTTTGTGTGTGGTTTTTTGTGCTGTTTTTTTTGTGATGTTTTGTTCTTATATTTTGACTTATATCAATGTGCAAAATCTTATATGAATCTATGGTTAGGTTAACTATTTATAGTTTTTATATTTTGCATACATTTATACAGTCCTCGTAATTAGGGTGAGCATTTTGCAATATTGACCTAAAATTGTTTGAAGTTGGCAAAAAATTGCCAACTTTATTACTATCTTTTATGGTAGAACATTTGTATAAAGTTTTTTTCTGACCTGATGCCAACCTCCTAAAGAATAAGGTTGGCAAATTATTGCCAACCTCATTTTTCCTAATTCTGAGGGCTGAGCTATAACTTACTTTGATTGAATTTCTGTTAAATAATTTATTAAGTTTATGGTTTACGGAAAAGTTAAGGTCATTTAATGCTAGTAAGGGTTTTCCAATTTATGTTTTCACATTCTTACTGATTCGATGGTTATATCATGATTTTTGGTTTGTATATTTTGGTTTTAATAAAAGTAATCTGAGGTTGGTGCTTAAGTGTGTAATTAATAGCCAGGTTTAATGCTTCTTTGTAAGATGGAATAGCTTTATTGAGTTTTTTTAAATGTTATATTGTAAGGTGGAATAGTTTTATTGAAAACAAAATCATTTAATGTGAATTAAACAAATTTATTTAATGATGTAACTGAAAAAAAGTTTTGATTTCACAAAACAGTATTTTAATAATTAAAAATTGTCAAGTTTTATGAGTGCAAATTGGATGAAAATTGGTGTAAAGTGTATCAAATGGCAAATTCTTGGACTTGTCAAATCAAGAAAACGTAGAAAAGTTAAAATACTCCAACTTGCTGGGAGCCTATAGGTGATATTAAAAGTTGTATCAATCAATATACCTACAAAAACACACTAGAATTATTTTTGATTCCATTGATAATGCAATTAAATCAATTATCAAGCAAATAGTAAAACAAAACACAAGTAAGATCAATTTGTTGCTTAGCTGCCATTCTTAACCCTATCAAAAATATTTGACTTTAGATTGAAACTCAATCAGTAAACCATGAAATTTAAACAACTAAAATAATGTGAAATAAGCCATGAAGTTTAATCAACTAAGATAATATGAACTTAATCATTAGATAAGATATTAAATCATTCGATAAGATAATATGAAATTAATCATTAGATAATATAAGAGCATTAAATTAGTTAAACAACTTTGATTATTTATTTGTGCATAAATGCACAAAGGGGTGGCCAAAAAATTTGTTCTTTGCATTTGATATTACACACCTTTTGAATTTGATGTTGTACACCCTTTAAATTTGAAATTGCACATCCTCTATTTAGTGAGGTTCAGTAAAAAAAATTAAATATATATCACCAAGGAATTTGTAAATAACTGTTATTTTTTGTATTTAACAATTGCTTGCTTTTATATTAAGTCATCTAATGTCATTAACATCATTCAGAAACCTTTCTGGTCTATCACCAATTTTTTATCTTCATTTATCTTGATGTGACAATCCTTTTCATCATAGGTATTCATGAAGCAGCATGCTTGCGAATATTCTTCAATTTAACTACTTTGCTTTAGTTGAAATATTAGCCTTAAGCCAAAAAAAATCGTAGTGCCAATGTGTTACAGGATCTTGAAATCTTGAAAAGTTGCTTTTTTGACTACCCTTTCATAAAAATTTGAAGTAGGCAAACTCGTTGTTGGAAACTGGTTTGGCCCATGTATTGTTTAACCATCATATGGTAAGTCTTAAGCAGCGATTTTCTTAAGTAACAAATTTTTACTTTTTTAACTATGATAAATACAAATTTAATAAATTTAAAGTACTCAAGACCAAATAATTGAAACATAAAAAATCTTAGATGATACAAATTCACCCCACGTCACCCCACCTCCAATGACCAATCATGCCATTGCTATGATTAAATTTATCAAAAGTTAGTTTCTGAGTAATAGTTTACATAGAAAAAGTTTGCAAAAAATTATTGCAAGTAAAATACTTTTCAATAATGAAATCTTAATATGCACTCAAAAAAGTTTTTTGTAAACAATGGATAGTGGTAAATCTAAATTTGCTTTTTAAATCTATATTTGATTGCATTTTTAGGCAAGTTTCGATTAATTTAGGGTTCTGAAATAGAGTTTGGAAATCACTTCCCATTATCAGTTTGCAAAAAAAAAATTAATTATTAATTAATTTTATCAAACCTTAGTAAATAAGAAGATATGCAATTTGAAACCCACCCTATTGTACCCACCTGATTATGTATGATAAATTTGATCTCTGTTATAATTTAATAATGTTCTTTTTTTCTAGATTACAGATCCTCCCTCTGAAAACAAAACATCAAGAGAAATTTTGAATCTTTTGATAGAAAAATTAAGATACTCAAAACCTTATTATAAGATGAAGCTAATGATTATTGGCTTTCCACAGCAAGGTAAAACAACTTTACTTAAAAGGCTTAAAGGCGACAATAACTTTAATCTGGATAAATCAACACAAGGTATATGTTTAAATACATTTGTTTTGTCATAGTTGTAAAGAGTATAGAAACAGCAGTGTTTTTAGTGCTAGCAAACATTTGCAGCAGTGGTTTAAATAGATGCAGAAGCATCCATTAGCACTATTAGGAAGTAGAAGAATGAGGTTTATTAAAGATTAGATCCAGATAGCTTGAGATGTTATCTGGATAAAAAACATAATTTAGAGAATTTAAAAGTATTTTTGTATTGTTTTTCAAAAACTAATTAATTTTAAACGCAGATATTGTTTTATTTTTAGATCTAAATTTGAATGTACTCTTTTTTTATAACATTTTCTAAATGTTCAAATGTTTATATTTATATTTTCACTTATCAAATGTTTATATTTATACATTATATATTATGTTGAAATTAAGCAAAGATTTATTATTGGGGTAAGTTAAATGGGAAATTAATTAAATTAGTTGAATCGATTGAAAGTTGATATGACAAAGCTAAACTTCCTAACTAATTTAAATTAATGGAAGATTATTGTAAATATTGGCTACTATTTATAAATTTGACTTAGAATGAATAGTGTTAATAATAATTAGAAATTGATTAAAAAAAAATAATTTAAAAAATAATCTTTTTGAATAGTAGTTATGAAGCAAGATAAATAATTATGTTGCAAATTAAGTGTTTGTTTACTACATTTTAAAATCAAAAAATTTAGTCAAATCCATATTTATTGTAATGCTTCACTATATAGTTTGAGGGTAAAGTAACTAAATAGCACTTTAAGTGGCCCTTTAGAGCAGCACTTAAGTGAATAGCACATTAGCACATAACCAAAAAAAAAAGAAAAAAAAGTAAAGTATTTCATTTCTCAAGTTAAGAAAAATAAAATTTACACTATGCAAATTCCGGCATGCACAAGTATAAGCAGAACACTTTCTCAATAGATTTAGTGAAGGCATAATTGAAAACCCAATTAATATTTTCTTGAACCTTTTGGATCATATAAGAACTTAAAGTGTTCAAGTTTGATTATATAAAGAGTTTTTGATAGTTCATACTTTTTTAGTTACTTGAAATTATTTTCCAATAATTAGAATCTAAAAAAAGCAAATTTCAAAATTCAAAGCACATTTAAACTATTAGAATTATCATACATTTATTATAACACATTCAATTTTTTTGCATTTTCATAAAATTTATATTGATTTATAATTAATAATTGTTTATAGAAGTTTAGCGTAAAATTAGTTTAAATAGAGCATCAGTGGTCGATCATATATTTGATTTTTGGAGAAAAGTAAGTGGGAAGTAAGAGGCTTTTGGGAATAAAGAGCAGGTATAAGGAAATAAGGAGGAGGGAAAATTATAAGAAATTAATAGCTAATTAAATTCAAAGTACATATCTATTTAAATTAAAATCAAGGCACAAGATTTTTAACCAAGAGATATTTATAATTACAAGTAAAAAAGTCTAACACATTTTTCCATAAAGCCAAAAATATTATTTTGTATGCAATATCTAGTGGGTCTAGAGTGGTCAAAAGTTTAAAAAAAGAATGAAATTAAAGTTTTAAAACCAATTATTTGCATATTTGCACCAACTCTAGCGTAAGTTGTTTTTTGTTATATATATTTGTATATATATTTATTTGAATATGTTGTTTAGGTATTGATATTGAAGAGATCATTATATCTTTTCAGAAAAAGGAACCTTTTGTTTTTCGAGTATGGGATTTTGCAGGACAAGAAGAATACTTTGCGACCCACCAGTGTTTTTTATCTTCTTCATCTTTGTATCTATTAGTTTGGGATGTAACTAAAAAAGATCAATGCACCCAACTACTTCAACCATGGTTTGAGAATTTAGTAGCTCGATTAAAAGTTTTTTATATTATTGTTGTTGGTACAAAAATAGACCTCCTCAATAATAATGACCTAGATAAAGCTTGCCATCTAATAAAAACTGAGATTAAAGCACTCATCGAAACTATTCCTGCTGTTAGAAATTTAAAAAATAGTGATAAAGATTTTTCTTGTAGACTAAAAATTTGTTTTGTTTCATCAGACACAAAGTTTCATAATTATCATAAAGGTAAGGTTTTTTTTTAAGGTGTTAAAAATACATTTTGTTTAGTGTTTGATAATTCTTTTTGTATTTTTAGTTCTTTTAGTATTAATTATTATTAGTATATTGATTATAATTTATTTAGTTATCATAAATAAATTGGAAATTTATAAACAATTTTAACTTTTTTGAACTCAGCTTACCATTATAGATTTGTTATATGTTGTTTTGTATATATGTTGTTTTGATTTTAATCATTGATTTGTTTTTGGTCATTTTAATGTATTTGTACGGATGAAACAGTTTCCCATGTTCATTCTGAAATACAAACAACCTGAATCATCTTTATCATTTTTAAAATCATTTTTTTCATGCTATCTTTTGCATGCTCTTTACAAGTTTTCTATTTTCTGCTTTAAATTTTTTCTCTCAATCTTCCATCTCTACGCACTTACATCTAATTATCTGCTCTTGCCTTTACTAGTACACTTTATAAGGTACATATTCCTAATATCTGTATTTATCAGATGCATTTGCTATTATATTTTTTTGTTTATTTTTTATCAATATAACTTTTTTTGTTTAAAGTAAGTATAATTATTTAAAAATTCATGCAAATGCAGTATTGACTTGAAATTCTCTTCATATTTTGATACATATTAATATTTAACATATTTATAATAAATTTTTATATTTACTATAAATTTGATAAATAATAATATTGGCATAATTTAACATAATTTTGATAATTATTAATGTTTAATATGATTACGATTGATTTGAATAATTAACATAATTGCTATATAACAAAATTGTATCCATGGTATTTACTTGTTTTTATTTATTTTTAATTAAAAACTTTTATTCAATTCAAAATTTTTTTAATTTTTTTTTAATTTTAATTTTTTTTTTATTTTTTGATATGATAGGTATTCAAACACTGAAAAAGGAGATCTATATTTTGGCGGAAACTATGACATCTAATGGAAAGCAAAATGGAGATAAAATAATGGGTAAATTGTTTCCACAAAGTTATTTAAAGTTGGAAGAAGAGATTAATGAAATTAAAAAAAACGAAAAGCATAAGATTCCAATAATCAGTCGAGAAGAATTCATTTTGATTGGGAAACATTTAAAATCTGATTTTGATAAGTTTCAAGTTGAAGATCTTGAACCAGCAACTAAGTTTCTGATGAACACAGGTTTCAAAGTTGTTTTTTATTTTATTTTCATATATATATATATATATATATATATATATATATATATATATATATATATATATATATATATATATATATAATCAATGACATATCCAGAAATTATTTGGGCATACCGGTCTAAAAATCCTGTCTACTTTAGAGGACTTTTTTTTTTTTACCTTAGAGGACCTTTTTTTTTTTTCCTCTTCAAATTTAAATACAATTATTTGTATATAATATATAACTCGCCCTAGTATTTTAAGTTTTTTTAATAAAAATTTAAATAAGTAACCAAAATAATGTTACATTTATTACAGAATGACGGCTTTAACTCCAACATCGATTTGTTGCTAATTGCTAATTTTCATTTAACTGCTCTATTTGCTTACTAATTATAAATTATAATTAATACTAAATATTAAATGATTAAATTAAAAATATTAAATATTAATAACTATATATAAATACTCTTTATATTTATATAACTATATAATACTATTTATATATATAACTATATATATAAATAGTATTTATATATATATAACTATATATATAAATACTCTTTATATTTATATATATATATATATATATATATATATATATATATATATATATATATATATATATATATATATATATATATATATATATATATATATATAAATATAAAATATATAAGAAAAAGTCTTTCAGCACTTCTTTTTTTAAGTAAACAGAATTTTTTTTTGAAATGATTTTTTGAAATTTTTATACAATTTCGCTTCATTTGAGTACCAGGTTGACATAATTTTGAAAAAACTTTTTTTTGAAATTATGTCAACCTGTATATATATATATATATATATATATATATATATATATATATATATATATATATATATATATATATATATATATATATATATATATATATATATATATATATATATATATATATACGTATATATATACGTATATATATATATATATATATATATATATATATATATATATATATATATATATATATATATGTATATATATATATATATACAGGCCTTGTTTTAAAGCGTTACGCCTAGAGCGATTTACGTATGCCTCAAGCGATTTTTACGTACGCGTAGAGCTGTTTTGGTTAAGCTAGTTTTTATCATTTTTTAACTTTTAAATTAGCGTAGCATAAAAGAAGTAATTAGTTTTTAAAAAAGCCACATTAACTTTCAAATAACGATATGTAAAGATATTTATTACAAAAAGAATTTACGTTAAAAATAATTGTTGCAACTTTTCATCGCGATATATCTTCCCTTTTTTTCAATTAATTTTACGCTAAACTTTTTATCCAAATATTTAACCACATGAAAAATTGTTCAATAAGTTTTTTCATAAATCAAGTTATATTATAAGGTAAAGAAATCACGAGTAGACTACAACATCCGCTGATGACACTAATATTACATTGAATATATTTATGTTTCATTATGTACACGCACATTACAGATTCCGTTAAATAAATACGAAGGCACGTTTTAGTTTAATGACTCTATTTTTTACTAATGGATATGTGTTTTTCATTATAAAACAAGACAAACTAGTATATAAAAACCTTGTATATTTCTATTCTCTCTAAATTGTTTAAAGTTCGAATTTAGATTGTATTTTAAAGGACAAAAGATTTACTTTAAAACTTTTAAATCTTGGGACTTTGCTGATGCTTTGCCGACGCGATGATTACAGAAAAAGAGAAGACTTGCGTAATTAAAATCAAATGTAAGTTATATGATCTTCATCAAAATAAAATATTATCCAAAAATAATGGTGCCATAAGGGCAGCTGCCCTACGGTTTATAAATAATACAAGTCATGTTAAAATATTTCAAAAAGTTACTATATTTTAATTAAGTTGATATATAAATAAAAAAATATATATAGTTCAATAAATAAATTAAATTTGTTCTTAACAAAGATCACCTCATATTTATTCTTTTTTTATTTTATTAAGTTAAATTGCTTACAAACGAAGAAAAAAAAAAGAATTTTGTAATTATACTCAGAATGAAAATACTTTTGAGTTTGTTTATAAGTTAAGGAACTTAATTTTTAATAAACAAATTTTTACCAACGTTTATTATAAAAAGATACGATTCAAATTATTAAATATACTTAAATTATTTTAGTTAAGTATTTTTTTAAGTTTGCACAATTAAAGTTTTGCGTAGAAGTATTTGTTTTTTGTTTTAAGAAAAATTAACTAAAGAGTTTGTATAATTAAGACTTTTATATTTAATTTAATTTTTTTTTTTAATTTCATAAAATTTATGTTAAAAAGATTTAATCGTTAAAAACGATTTTTCTCTACAGCTCTGTTTCTTTGTGATTTGTTTAAAATGTAAAACATTTTTACAATAACCTTTAAAAATTTATGAATTAAATTCCTGGCAAACACGTTCTAAACTATGTATCAAAAATATGCTCAAAGCAGACAAAACTTTTTAATATTTTTATATAACACAAGTTGAAACGCTAAGCAAGATAAATTTAAAAAATATTTAAAAAACTAAATTATTCTTTGCTAGTCAAAACAAAATTGCTGTTTAAATAATTAACAAGGGTTTTTGTTTATCAATGTTAATATTTTTTGTTTACTCCAGAAATTTTTAAAAATAATAAAACCATTATTCAAGATACCATTAAAATTTTTTTCGATTATTTTAAAATACAAAATAACTTTGAAGTTTTGTAAAGATTATATACAAACATATGTAACGTAATGATATTATACACTTTCACAAAAGAAAAGATTTTAAGAAAGCTAAAAAAAAAAACATTACCAAGAGAAAAAATTTGTTGCGTATGTATGATGATTGAGAACTTATGTTATTAATGTGCTCAGGTAATTAGTCCTAATAAGCTGTGGATGGTCTGAAAAAAAAGTTGTCTGAAACTTAGTAAAGAAAAAACTATATTAAATAAGAAAGTCCTGCTACTCAAGAAGGGGCTGCTGTGGAGGCAAAAAAAAAAGCCCGTAGCTAGAAAAAAATTTAAAACTTTCTTTTGATAATCAAAAGATTTTTTTGCTACATTTATTTTTTTACTATAAATATATGCTGCAGCTGTTTTTCAAAACGCCTTAATATGCTTATTACGTATTTCGAGAAAAACGCAATTAAAAAAAAATTATTTAAAATTAACTCTTTGTTAAACGTTTTTTGAAACGAATAATTTTAATGAATTTTTTTCAGAACTCTTTGAAAATATGTATTCAATAATAATTGTAGACATAAACTAGCTTATTTTGTAAAAAAGTCAAAAATGATATTTTTAACTATATGGCGTTTTGAAAAACGGCTGCAGTATGCAGATGATACAACAAATATGTTAAAATGAGATAATTTGACGCAAAATTTAAAAGCTCTTAACAAAAGCCACTAAACCAAAAAAATTAAATATAATTGTTTAAAATTTTTATTACAGTGAAAATTTTTATTTTAGTGAATATAGTAATTTTAGTTCAAAGTTTTATTATAGCACTTAAAAATTTTATTATAGTGCTTTGGTTTTTGCAAAGAAACGCTATATAAATCATTTTTTAATTTTAATACAAACTAATTTTTTTTTAACTTTATTGCGCTTAACCGTCTCTATATAAACAATGTATATATAAACATATATATGCTATTTGTTTATATATATATTGTTTATAAAATGTAAAAAATCCACTTATATAACGTTTTATTCAGTATCGCATGTAATATAAGTAAACTTATATTACATATGATTCTAATAATTGCATCTTTTTTGCTTAAGCTGTTTTGTTTTTTGGTATTTGTAGTTATGTTATTATATTCAAAAAAATTGACAAGATTAAAAAAACACGAAATATATTGTCAATTCCGATTGGAAAATTTGAAACTTCAACTTTAGATTTGCTCCTCTCTCGATAATTTCTGATTTCTAAGGTTATGTCATCTGCTTCTTAGACCTTTAAAAATGATAGTCATATAAATAAGATTTTATTTCAATTTTTTATAAAAACTCTATCTATTAATGATATACTAGCATATAACCCGTAATACGGGTTTTGGTCAGTCTGTTACATAATTAGTTTATAGTGGCTGTTCTCCACAATTTAATGTTGCAAAACCTTAGCTAATACCCTTTTAGAAAAACGCCTTCAGCTTGAAAAAGTTAATCCATCTGTAAAATTAACATAAAAAGTATGAGGAGGTAAAATAATTTACCAACAACTACTTAACATTTACAATTACTATTTAACATTATTTGAGTAATTTACAACTGACTTAAGTTTTAACAGTGTAAGACAGAATCATTTTCATCGACCTTCCTAAGTTCAACACAATACTTTTTTAGTTACTGACACAAAACAATAACACTTCATCATGCTTTATTTGACGAAAGTATCAACTAAATCCTTGTAATAATTTTTATAATATGAACCATTAAGATTACAATGAAGTTAACTTAGCAAAAAGTAACACGTAATACGCATTATGGTCGGTTTGTAATTTATATTATGGCTGTTTTCCACAATATAAAGTTGCAAATTCTTAACTAACACCCTTTTAAATATCAACTAAATTCTTGTAATATTTTTTATAACACAAACCTTAATTATTTATTAAGATTATCATGAAGTTAACATATATTATACAGGAGTTATTAACTTTTAGTATCCCCTCTCAGGTTAAATTTTTCTTTAGAAAAGAAAATATGTTATCTTAACAAAGTTAAATGCAGTTAACTAAATAAATTTATTAAAAATAACTAAGTTTATTATAAATAACTAAGCAATTGAGTACAAAAACGTTTAAAAAAAAATTAAATAATTTACAATCAAACATGTGTATAACAAATTTTTTAAAAAGTTTTAACTTTGATCTTTTATATTGCGTCATACGACAAACCTAAAATAAAAATTGTAACAGGTAAGTAGCCATAAAAAAAGAATAAAAAAAAGTAGATATAAAAAAGAAAGAAAAAATGAATGGAAACAATTTACC